CAGCCACTATCCAAATAAAAGTATGGAAATTCTTCAAAAAATGAAAAATAGCCCTAACATATGATCCAGCCATCCCACTCCTAGGTTTATATCCAAAGAAAAGGAAGTCAGCATACAAAAGAGATACCTGTATGCTCAGTTTTTGTTTGTTTGTGGTGCTGAGAATTGAAACCAGGTGTGCTTGACCACCGAGCCATATCCCCAGCCCTTTTTACTTTTTGAGACATGGTCTTACTAAATTTCCCAGGCTTGCAATCATCTTGCCTCAGCCTACCAAGTCACTGGAATTACAGACGTGCCCAGCATACCTAGACATGCCCAAATTTATTATTCAGCCATAAAGAAGAACAAAATCTATCATTTGCAGGAAAATGGGTGGAACTGGAGGACATCGTATTAAGCAAAATAGGCCAGACATAGAAAGACAAATAATGCATGTTCTCATGTGCAAAAACTAAAAAAGAATAATAAGTAACTAAGTTGACCAGAAAATAGAAGAGGGATTATCAGGGACTAGAAAGGGTGTGGAAATTGGGGGTGGGAGAAGAACGTGGATGGACATGATAAATTCATGATGTATGCAAACATCCCATTAATCTGTACATTTAAAAAAATAAAAATTATAATTTAAATTTTTAAATTAAAAAAAGAAGAAGAAGAAAAATGGACTAAATTTTGTGGTTCAGTTGTGCTGCACCTAGACCCAAAAAAATTTCCACCCAAGTCCAGAAGGCTGCATGCTCAAAGATGTTCATGGCAGCATTGTTTTGGTGACCGGTAGTTAGAAGCAATGTTGTTGCTATGGCAGGATAGAGGAGAAGTAAAATATGCTGCGTATACATCAGGGCACACTAGACAGTCAGGAGATGCAAGAGGCTAATAGTAAACAGAGCGATAGTGATATTTGAGTGCAGAATGAGATGAATAACATGATTCAGTTGACATAAATTGGAGACGAGTATTCTGTGAAAGTTGACAGAGTCAAAATGGAGTCACTTGTCTCAACCCTAATATAAATAAATAAATAAAGTCAGGAGGTTATAAAGGAAGGATTCCCAGTATCGCTGCCTGATAGTTGGCTATCAAAAAAGACTACCCTTGCACAAAAGCCATTGCACCCTTATGCAAAATATACTTCTGCAAGGAGTCTCCCCAGCCAGAGTCTGCTTACCTTCACAATGATGCCACTCTCGTTATTAATCCTTATGGCCAAGGATTATTGTTTTATTGTTTCAAAATGGTACGTAATCCTCCTCAATTTTTCATTTAAAAATTTCCACTTGGGTTTGAGTCATAGATCAGTGGTAGAGTGCTTGCCTTGCAAGTGTGAGGCACTGGGTTTGATCCTCAGCACCACATAAAAAAATAAATACATAAGTAAATAAAAGTAAAGATATTGTGTCCATTTGTAGCTTAAAAAAAATTAAAAAAACAAACAAACAAAAAACCTTCCCCTTGCCTCAACCTCTTTGAATACACTCATAGTTCACTGTGGCAAACATATCCCCATTGGAATTCTACTCCCACATACATATTGTTCTTTGGAAAATTTCACTCTGGGTGTTACTTAGGTTGATAATTCAAAGCTTCACTAGCCATTTTACAATGAGGCAAATGAAAGCCTATGTACTTAAAACACTGATAATAGCTGGGCACACTGGCACAGGCCAATAATACCAGACACTCAAGAAGCTGAGGCAGGGGAATAGCAAGTTTGAAGCCAGCCTGGAAATCTTAGGGAGACCTGTCTCAAAGCAAAAATAAAAAGGGCTGGGGAATGTGGATCAGAGATAAAGAACCTCTGAGTTCAATCCCCAGGATGGAAAAAAAAATACTATAATAATTGCTAATAAATATTAGAGGATGAGAAATCAAAAGGGATAAACATACACCTAAGTAAAAACAAAAGACCCTCACAGAGCTGAGATAAATGTGCCATAAAGTACGATTATGATTAACGCAACCCTCTCTGTACATGAAGTTCAACTAAGAAAATATACATGTGTTAAAATGAAATGTCATCTAATCAAATCAGCCAGAGATTTCCTTTTGATGTTTTTTAACTGCCTTAAAATTAAAAATATGTCACCCCTATTTTTTTCTAATCATTGCAGTTGTTTTGCTGGTTATTTTTAAATTTAGCTCTTTATTTCATCCAAACATATTTGCAACAGTTTTCCCAATGTCACTTTGTTCCAGGGGCCACCCTTTCCTCATTGATTTTAAAAGCCCCACAAATGATACACCCCACTCCCATATGTACATGGGTCTATTTCTGGGTTCTTTTTTTATTCCTCTGATATGTCTGAAATATTCCTCCACCCAAACTACTCATTAGTGTTGCTTTATAATATATCTTAGTTTTCTGTTAGGTCCTCCCTCACTATTCTTATTTTTTAAAAAATTCTTGATAATTTTCATTTTCTCCCCCTTCAGATGAAAACAGAATCTTTTCTTCAAGATTGACTAAAATAATGTTTGGTTGGGATTCTATTTGGAATTGAGTACAATTTATATATTATTTTGAGAAACATCAACATATTTTAAATCTCCTCATCCAGAAACATGCTGTTTCTAAGTTCACCATAGAAACACTCATTTTTTTTTTTTTTTTTGGCCACCAGTAAAACTGTATAGTTTTCTTCACAGAAGCATTCCTCCTTTCTTGCTTAAATTTATTCTTGGGTAATGTATAAATTCATTGGTACTGTAAATTATTTTCAATTTCCACTTTTAACTGAAATGCTGTTATAAAAAAAAGCTACTGATTTATTACTCTTTATTTTGTATTTAGGGATCATTCTAAAGCACTTTTCTCTATATAAGTCTTTTGTAAATGTCAATATGTTGAATTTTCAATTATCAGAAGGTGAAAGGTGATTGATGGTTTTTTCTTTCAGAGTAAGCAGAGAAAAAAATAGAATTTAGATTCGATTTATTTGTATTTTATTTTACACACACACACACACACACACACAAACACATACACTTGTGAGCAGAATGTCTGCAGTATTATTTAAGAATTGGAGGGCTGGGGATGTGGCTCAAGCGGTAGCGCGCTCGCCTGGCATGCGTGCGGCCCGGGTTCGATCCTCAGCACCACATACCAACAAAGATGTT